TGTTTAAAGGATTAAAAGCCCCTTAACAGAATTAGTAAATCTCAACACACATCTGATGTATGTCAATATATAAAGCCTTCATATGTTACAAATAAAGTGGAACTATTTGAGGGAAAAGTACATCTATAAGTACATAGAATTGCTGATTCCACTAAAATGCTATTTCATGAAACAAGTTTAGGGTAATAATAATAATTATTATTACTGTACGAGTTTTTATACAAAACTACACAATGACTAGCATAATGCATAGCCATCACCAATTTAAAATTTACAGACTAAAAAAAATGCATATTGTCAACCCACTTCCAACTCTTGTTCACAAGTGATGCAGCACATGTAATAAAGTAAAACTTTGTTGTCTAAACTTTCATTCCTTTTAATTATTTAGCCATAATATATCTTTTTGAATCTTTGGTTACTTAATTACTTTTCATGCAACAATTTCTTCCAAGTTCTTTCGATAAACTTCACAACCGTATGATTTACTTCAGATATGGATAATAAGATGTCTTTCTAGAGGTTAAGACTATCTATTTCTTGGTTATGGACACTAAGACTGAATCATTTCTTTAAAATCATTATACATTTTACCAATTGGATTTTTTTTTTTAGTGTGGATATTTTTTTGTATTTTTAGTTACTATGGTCCTATATCATTTTTGTTATTACACACTACATAACTGTATCAGCTCCACAGTATGTATCACTCCCATGATTTATTAATTCATTTACATATTTTTATAACACAGTAAATACCTATATGATACAGTTCCATTCATATTGCCAGATTGCACAAATATATAGTTTTTAATCCGTATGAATCTTCTGATGACTTAAGTCTTTTTTTTTTCTTTCAAGCTCTTTTTCACATTCCAAAAACATGGAGTTTCTCCCCAAATGTGTATTCTGTGATGCATTTCAAGTTGATCTTTACTACTAAATTCTTTACCACACACTATATAATTATATCACTTCTCTCCATTACATACTCTCAAGTGTACTTTTAAATAACTATGTTCTCTAACATACACACACACTGCACAAGTATATAGTGTTTCATAGGCAAGTTTTTTGTTGTTTTTTTATCTCTTTTTAGGTGAGTACTCCTTCCAAATTCCTTGTCACGTACTTCACATTTATGTGGTTTCTCACCAGTGTGTATCAGGCAATGGATGTTTAGGTCACTTTTTCTTGCAAGTTCTTTCCTGTACAAATATATGGATTTTCACCAGTGTGTATCCTCAGATGCATTTTTAAGTGACTATTTGTTCCAAATTCTTTGCCACACACTAAACAGCTATATGGTTTCTCTCAAGTGTGTATATATTGAAGTATTTTTAAGTTAAGTGTTTCTCAAAACTTTTTATCACATGCTACACAACTGTACTGTCTCTCACCAATGTGAATCCTCTGATTTTTTTCAAATTTATCCTTGCAGTCACCTTCTTTAGAACACACAAAACAACTATATGGTTTCTCCTCAGTATGTATCCTCAGATTCTGTCTTTACTAAATATCTTACCACACAAAACACAACTGTATGGTTCATCTCCAGTGTACATATTCTCACATCTTTTTATGTTATTTTCTGTAGAAAATGTTTTGTTAAATTCTTCTTCAGACCTTAGGTTCTGAGAACTGCTGTTCTTTCTATCAGAAGCTTCTCATATCATTACAACCAGGAAATCATCTTCCACAATGGTTGTTCATGGAAATCTCTGGATCTACAAATAGAAGGACATAATTATATTAGTTGATATATACATCATACATAAACTTGGTTAATATTTTAAAAAGTAAGAACAGACCCACATTTATAAATCATAATGTGGCTCATTAACAATAAAATCATACACTTAAGTGCAAGCGTTAACTTTTTAATCACAATTTAAATAAGTAATGTATTTCCATAAGCTGTATTTTTGAGATCAATAAATTTTGCAACTAAGGTATGAAATTGTCTTTAATCTTCATTATTAGCCTAATAGTGTAGCTATTGTTTCCACATTAGCTCATATTTATATTTACATCAAAAACAAGCTTTCTTATAAACCATTATTTTCAAGGACTCAAATAACATTTCTGTTATGGATTACAGAAATAATTTTTAATCCATCCATAATTGCAATTAAGCTACATAAATAAAGGAAAAAAAAAACATTACAAGATGGTTGACTACAGAGTACACTACCAAACCACAGCTTCTGCATCCTCCTGCTATTACAACTGATAGATGCACGACCCTCACGTTAGTTGATTTTTCCTAACAGAGTTTTGGTTTATCACTAAATTTAATATTTCTGTAATCAAGGTAATCCCACCAATCAGATATAGTTTTCCCTGAAGATATAGTTGGCCACATTTATTAAAGAAAACTTTCATCTTTTTACTGTGAAGTTAATTCTATGTCAATTAATTAACAGTTAATTTAATGAAAAAAAAACATCTTTTTTGAATCAGCATTCTTGAATGTGTGTGTTTGGATTGATATCTGTACTTACGAGGTCTACCTTCTAAGTTGATGCATCTCTTCTTCAAATTAATTTTCTTTTCCCACACTAAAATCATCATTGTTACTCACAATGAATCCTAAAACTGCCTCATCTTCTTGTAACTCACCAGGTGGCTCAGTTTTCACTTTAACCAAAGTGTTCTGCAATATAAGAATGAATCACATTAAATGGATTAATAACAAACAAATAGAACTGTTATTACAGTAACCAAACACATGTCTTCTCATCTAGTGAGTTTACTTGTGCAGTTCTCTGTACAAACATTCTGTATTGCC